ACGCACTGTCCAGAAACGGCTTAAAGAAGTCGAGTGGCTCTGGCGAGGAATAACTCAACAACTGATGCATCCCGTTTTGGAGGGAAGACACTATTCGTAATAACAATGAGGAAATACGTGTTGCTATCAGTCAGACGACTTTGAGGCTAATGCGTCAAGAACCTACCTGAAAGTAATGGTTAACCCAACGTAAATGATGAAACGATTGCTTCACAGCTACGTCAACTGGGAAGGGGAAGTCCTGGTGGAAGCTGAGCAAGTGGGTTGCACCCGCATGGATTAACAGACAGTAGTATGCCTCAAGGCTCGTCTACTTGTTCTTCACTTCCTTCGCGAACATTAGAAAAGCAGGGCGTTATTCGGTTGCTCGATTGACTGACTCTTGATGAAAAGTGGCTTTTGCAGTGCAAAGTTTTTTACCCGAACGAACATATCAATGGTTGCCTGCAAGGCATTATGTGTTTTGTCGATTACAGACGCAATGTTCACTAGCCGAATGACAAAGCATTAGAGCTGGAATCTATCTGCTTAATAAAAATCAAAGTTTTTTCAAAAAAACTTTTTTAAAATAAACAGAAGTTGCCAATTGGTCGGAAGGAAGTCTTGTTTTGTACTTTTCGCAAAACGACGCAAGTCCTCATCCCTTATTTCTTAAAACAGCCATGGGGAGATTTTGACTTCATTTGATAAGTGGAAGGTACTGCCCCATCCTCGTTTTCGTTCTCTGCGTTTCCATATTTCTTTGCGTAACTATTATCTTTTCTTGCTGTTAATAGCCCGTTCATAAGAGGTAGGAAACTAAAGTGAGATGGAAGCTGAGGTGACTGCGACTAGGTTGTTTGGTCCAAGAGACAAAAGGTACCATAAAAGTGCAATTGGCAGGCGTGTCCCATTGAAAGAGGCTGCTGGGTTGCGATGGCCGTTATTTTGACGAATGAAATACATAACGGAGCTCTTTAAAGGCAATGAAATCCTAATATAAAAACTGAATGAACTAATTTGATTGCCCCGTAGATCGTCTGGCCGATACTTTGAGGCTCTAAACCATTTGGCCTTTTTTGAAAATGCTCGTATCTTTTAATACATGGAAATGGTTTAATCATCGCCTAAGGCAACAGTATTTAAGAAAATGCCAGAGGCAAAAAGCCGGAACGGCTCCTCGATGACCTCAAGCCACTCGATTTTATCAAGAGTTCACAGTTGATGGCGAGAAATCTAACAGTAGACTATTTTGCGCAGGGGTAGGGAAGACACAAGGCGCTGCGCTAACGCTCTAATTTCTCACAATCATAGGAAATAAATTCAGGTAACATTATTCAGTAATCTGCTGTTCTACCACCGCGAACCCTCAGCTAAACTTGCATATCGAACTTTTCTAGCTAGATGATATCATTTATAATGACCGCTGTTGCATGATTGCCATAACCATATTAACTGTTACAAGAATATCTTATTGTAATTGTACGATGCAATTTCCCTCATTATTAGCTCAGCTCTTTCGGGTTCTTTTGCATCCTACTCGCACTGATTGCACATCGTAAACAGTCCGACTGAGTGATTATTTCATTCGAGCGTCGATGAGCCCAAAACCACTCGTTTATACCATCTTAAATCTGTTGCGCGGCAATGAAACGCCATGCCCAGGAAGTTTTCAATCGAAGTTCTTAGAGGTAGTTGAGTAATGGAAACCAAAGAAGGTCTAGTTTAGCCAGTAGTCAGAAAGTTTTCTAGTTTCAAAGGTAAATCAACTGAAACCTGAGTTCGCGACTTTTCACCTTAAGTAGAGATAAAGTAATAACAAAAATATTTGCAATGCGTATTAGGTGTTCAAAGGTTGCTGTCGCTTTTTCATCGCCTTTTAAGGTATATCTTTGCTCCCATAAAAATAAGACCTGTGGACATCATCGGGTTTACGTTTTATACACAGGACTTTTCTTCAAGTCAGTGTTTCCGTGCATTTAAAATACGCTGTAAATACCAGAGTTCAGATATACTTTTCTATCTTAAGTTAAATAGTTCGCTTCTTTATAACACAAAAGCTAAAAAAATTGTGGCGAAGTGATAGACTGCTGCATAGAATAAAGCTATTAGTGGACTGCAATGACCGAAAATTATTATAGTATGCGCCCAGTGCCTCCGTCTTAAAGCCCATTCTCTGCATTACTGCAAGCAGTGGGTTTGAGAGTGGGTCCCGTTCAAAGTGGCCATAACCCATGACAGTAAGTGTCCCATTCAGGTATCCATTGTTGGAAGTTCCGCCCCCATTCCC